GGAGGTTGCCATGTTTATGCTGTGTGAGGGAGACAGGGAGAGAGAGAGAGGGAAGGAAAGAGGAAGAGAGATAGAGTAGAAAAGAGAGAGGGGGAGAGAGTGAGAGAAAGCGGGAAAGAGAGAGAGAAGATGAGAGAGAGAGAGTGGGAGAGAGAGAGGGAAGAAAAGAGGAAGAGAGATAGAGAAAATAAGAGAGAGCGAGATGGGGAGAGAGAGGGAGAGAAGAGGGAAGAAAGATAGAGAAGATAAGAGAGAGAGAGAGATGGGGAGAGAGTGGGAGAGATAGAGAGGGAAAGAAAGAGGAAGAGAGAGAGAGAGAGAGAGGAAAGAGAAAACAGAGATAGAAAATAAGAGAGAGAGATGGGGAGAGAGGAAAGAAAGAGGAAGAGAGATATAGAAGGTAGAGAGAAGAGAGAAGGGAAGAGAGGGAGAGAAATCGGGAGAGAGATATAGAAGAGAATGGAAGGGAAAGGAAGAAAAGAGGAGAGGAGACAAGAAAAGAACAGAGGAGAAAGAGGGAGAGAGATAGAGAAACAAGCAAGAGTGATGGAGAGAGGGAGAGAAAGCGGTTGAGAGATAGAAAAGGGAATGGAAGGGAAGAGTAGAGATGAGGAGAGGAGGAAAGAGAAGAAAAGAGGATAGGAGGATAAAGAGAGGGAAAGAAAGAGGGAGAGAGAGGAGACAATAGAGAGAAAATGAGATAGAGGGAGAGAAAGCGAGAGAGAAATAGAGAAAGAGAAAGGGAAAAAAACAATAGAGAAGAGGCAAAGAGGAGAAGAGGAGAGAGAGAAGAGAGAGAGAATGGAAGTGAAGAGAAGAGAAAGACCGAGAAGAAGAGAAAAAGAAGAAAGGAAACGGGAAAAAAGAAATGGAGGGAAGAGAAAGAGAAAAGAAAATATATGACGAGAAGACAAGAAGAAAAGAGAGAAGGGGAGATGAGACAGAAGAGAAGCGAAGAGGAGAGAGAAGAGAAAGGAAGAGAGGAACGAAAGAAGAGGGAAAGGAGAGAGAGAAGAGAGAGAAGAAAAAGAAAGAAGAGAGGGAAAAGAGAAGAGAAGAGACAAAAGAGAAGGAGGGAGAAAAATGAAAGTAGACAAATAAACAGACAGATAGAAAGACATAAAAGACAGCAAAAAGGCAATTGTAAGGAAAAAATATTCAATGACATTCATATACGTATGCTTAAGCGTGGTACATGCCAGCACGCACGCATAAAAAATATATATACCTTTATATATATATATATATATATATAATATATTATATATATATATATATATATATATATATAATATATATCAAAATAAAACAAAAAAAATATCTCTAAAATAAATAAACAAATGAATAAAAAAAAAAATGAAAAAAAAAAAAAACAAAAAAAAAACACCAAAAAAATCACCCTCTCACCCCCTCCCCCTCCCCCTCCCCCTGAACCGGACCTCCAGCCAATCCCTGTCTAAGACGAAGGCCACGGCGTCCTCCTCCTCCTCCTCCTCCTAAGACAGCGCGAGAGGAACCGATAAGGAACACGGGCGTCGCAGCGGGACACCGACACGACCCGGGAGATAGAGCGAGAGATATGGGCGGCCATTGAGATCTCCGACGCCCGGACTTTAATGAACTGAAGGCAATCGGCAGGGAATCGAACACGGGGATCCTTTTTGTTCGAGATGGGATTCGTGTTTAACTTCATCGTTTTTTTCTTCTTTTCTTATTTTTCTATTTTTTTATTTTATTTATAGTATTTTTCTCTCTTTTTTTTTGGGGGGGGGGGCTGATTCTTAATTAGACTTTTTTTCTTTCTTTTTTTCTTTTAACCTTCACTATAAATTCTAGATTCCTCTTTTTAAATACGTTTCAAAGATCTAACTCTAAATCAAAGGGATTTTCAGAAACTTGATTCTTAATCAGCTTGATTCTGTTTAGATATTTCATACTTGTATAAATTAATTAACATATTTATTTCATCTTATTTTCTTTTTACCAAACTAACTATTCTTAAAAGATCTGGTTAGCAATTAACTTTGTAAATATATTCTCCATTTAATTAGTATTAAATTGATCATCACTTATGATTTACGTAATCTATAATGATAACAAAACGTATCCATATCATTAAGGATTTGTAATGATATAAAACTGATTAAGTATTCGCAAAAAAAAAGTAAAAAAATGCGCAACAAAAATAATCAACAAAATATAAAAGAAACAAATAAAAAAAAAACTGGAAAGTAGCGACGAAAAGTTACGGATTTTAAACAACTTTGAATATTGGGAGAGTGTATTCTTTGAGTGTGTGTGTGTGTGTGTGTGTGTGTGTGTGTGTGTGTGTGTGTGTGTGTGTGTGTGTGTGTGTGTGTGTGTGTGTGTGTGTGTGTGTGTGTGTGGTGTGTGCCTGTGTGTGTGTGTGCCTGTGCATGTGTGTGCCTGTGCATGTGTGTGTGCCTGTGCATGTGTGTGCCTGTGCATGTGTGTGTGCCTGTGCATGTGTGTGTGTGTGTGTGTGTGCCTGTGTGTGTGTGTGAGTGAGTGTGTGTTGTGTGTGTGTGCTTTAGTGAGTGTGGAATGTGTGTGCGTGTGCGTGTGTGAGTGTGAATGTGTGTGTGTGTGCTTGAGTGAGTGTGTGTGTGTGTGTGTGAGTATGTGCGTATGTGTGTAGGTTGAGTGAGTGTGTGTTTAAAAGTCGCACGCGTCCAAAAACTAACAGATAATTCCTGCAACGATTAATAAAATATAACTCACGCTAAGCAATCATTAAACCAATACTTACGAACTATAAAACTAAAATAAACATTAATCCTATAACACAAAAACAACAAAAGCCCAACCCTTCATAAGACATTACCAAACCTGTAAATAGCCTTCAATAAGATTTTCATTTACAAGTCACACCGAAGCAACGAAACAACAGAGACAGACCGTACTTTACTACAATCAAAACACACACACACGATCATGTCCCCACCAAAGGCTCTCGACACAGAGAATCCTAATCGTGAAGACAGGAAAGTAAAAGTGAAATAACGAAGAGAAACACAATAGGAGTTGCCCGCTGGCTGCCATTGTTTACACGCCGCTAATGCCATCTATTGGTAAGGGAGTCAACGCGTACAATGGACCCGGGAGCTGCCACTGGGGATCAAGGCCGCCCGGTACCTTATAAATAGACGAGTTAGAGGATCCAATTCCCTTTATTATAGGGTCTGATGCGAAGTCCCCGCCATAGAGGGGGATCGGCAAAGCGAGGAGTTCCATCCGCTTATTGACCCAGAACATAATACGGCCGATGAAGCGAACCAGAGACAGAATTACACGCGGGAGAGAGAGAGAGAGACGAGAGAATCGCCTCGATTGCGCATCTGAATAATGTCTGATTACTGATTTTATGTTGTTATTGAGGATGGGAATGCGAGGTTGTCTGCCGAGTGCGCAACCTCGTCGTGTTCCGGGAGGTTGCGAGGAGACACGCGCTTCTGGTTTGTCAAGCGATTTGCGCGTGGATGTGTATATATACAGTGTGTATGCAGATATGTGTGTGTATGTGTGTACGATACATGCATACATATACATATTATATATATATATATTATATATATATATATATATGTATATAATAATATATAATATATATATATATTATTTATATTAATACATATATACACACACACACATACATATATATATGAATGTATATATATATACGTACACATACATACATATATATATATATATATATAATATATATATATATATATATATATGTACATGTTGTGTGTGTGTGTGTGTGTGTGTGTGTGTGTGCGTGTGTGTGTGTGTGTGTGTGTGTGTTGTGTATATATATATAATATATATATATATATATATATATATATATATATATATATGTGTGTGTGTGTGTGTGTGTGTGTGTGTGTGTGTGTGTGTGTGTGTGTGTGTGTGTGTGTGTGTGTGTGTGTGGTATAATAGTTGTGTGTGTATTATATATATATATATATATATATATATATATATACATATATATAATATATATATGTATGTGTGTGTGTGTGTGTGTGTGTGTGTGTGTGTGTGTGTGTGTGTGTGTGTGTGTGTGTGTGTGTGTGTGGTGTGTTGTATATATATATATATATATATATATATATATATATATATATATATATATTATATATATATATATATATATATATATATATATATATATATATATACATATATATATAATATGTGTGTACATACATATAAATATAGATAGATAGATCCCTCACAAACCCGTAAACATGTACCGCATGCCACACCCTCTTTCAAAAATCCGCCTTCTGATTGGCTAATTCGAAACGCGCGCCCTTTCCAAAAGCGGCCTGTTTCCGTTCGTGAAGCGAGGGAGTGCGAGTACAAAGAAATATTCTCGGGTTTCCTGAACAGCTTCTGCGTAATGCAATTAACGATAACAAAACCCGGAAGTCGTGCATTGTGACTTCAACAATCACGTGGTTGCAATTGTTCCTGACGCGTACGTGGCGTGTGGGCGTATTGAGTGATTGCAGGTTTGCGTTTTTGCGTGCGTAGTCTGCTGCTTGTTTGTGCTTGCAAAAGGAGGATGGGAAACAGTAGATGCTTATTCTTTTAACGGCCGCTTATTCTCTTCGAAAATTGTGAACTGCAGGGAAGTTGTGTTTGTTGTTGTTGTTGTTTGATGCCCATTCTTGTTTTCTATGATGCGTTTTCGCGTAAAACCCAAAAGCAAAAGTAGTTTTTTATGATCTTTCAGAATATGGATGAGGTACGGAATGCCTGACTTTCTTTTTTAACATAAATAGACGTTTTTTTCCCAATAGAGTAAATTCCCAAGTCATGAGATTATGCTTAGAATTACTATAACTTTTTATAATAAATAACAAATCTAATTGACGAAGCTACGGACTCCCTTAGAAAAAAGAAAAAAAAAATATGATGATGACAATAAATCGAAAATAAATAGCTAAAAATCCCAAACCAGAAAACTAGCACGAAAGACTAAGGCTCCCAGAAGTATCGCCTCCGGGAGCCGCACCTCCGGGAGCCGCACCTCCGGGAGCCGCACCTCCGGGAGCCGCACCTCCGGAGCCGCAGGCGGGAGCCGCGCGCCCTTGGGGACTCACCTGCCCGAGGTCGTCGGGGATGGGAAGGCAGATGTGGAAGATCCTGCAGGCGTTGTCGACGTCGGCGTAGTATCCGTAGGGCAGCCCCTCGCAGGAGAAGGTCTGCGCCACCTGGCCCGTGATGGACTCAGAGCCCGAGGAGAACACGTAGGGCATCCGGGCGGAGGCGAAGCCGGCGAGGCAGACGAGGGCGAGGGCGAGGGCCGAGGAGACGGTCGCGGGGGACGAGGCTTTGGAGGAGGAGCTCATGGTGGCTGGCGTGGGCGTGCAGGGGGCGTGGGCGGGGGTGAACGAGGGCGCTGGGGAGCTCCTGAAGGTGCGGGAGGGGCTAGGACGAGGGACACTCCGGCTGAAGACGGTCGTAGTAGGATTCGTGTGCTTCTGGCTCTCGCTGTGGGCGGGAAGAGAGAGAAAAAAGGAATAAAGATGGATGCAAAGAGAAATTAGAAAAAAAAAGAAAATAAAGATGGATATAAGAAAAAAAAGAAAATAAAGAAGATGAAAGAGAAATAAGAAAGAAAAATGATGAAATGAGGAAAAAAAAGAAAGAAAAGAAAAATGGATGAAAAAGAAATAAGAAAAAAACGAAAAAAAGAAAAGGAAAAAAAAAAAAAACCTGAAGGGTAATTACAGTAAAGGAGAGAGAGGGAAAACAGGAGAAACTTTTGCAATCATTAATTGTCTGGGGAAAATGCTGCATCATCCCGCATTGCCAAACAGGATTCGCCAAATTTGCCAAACACAGACAACATCCCTGAAAAAATAAGGCAAAAATTACAGAAGAAGAAATGGAGAGGAAGGGAGATAGACAGGTAGACTGCGATAGGAGAAGAAGAAGAAGAGAGAGAGGGGAAGGGGGAGGGAGGGGAGCTAAGAAAGAGAGAAAGAGAGAGAGAGAAGACAGAAAGAAGTATATTTCTAGAATGTACATTAGGTCATCATAGTATACATAAGAGAAGAGAGAAGAGAAAGAGAGAGAGAGAAGAGAGAGAGAGAGAGAGAAGAGAGAGAGAAAGAAAGAAAGAAGTATATTTCTAGACTCTACATTGGTTCATCTTCATCACAGGTATACAGCGAGAGAAGAAGAAAGAGAGAGGGGGGGGGAAGGGAGCATTGAGAAGAAAAAGAGAAAGAGAGAGAGAGAGAGAGAGGAGAAGAAGAGGGAAAGGAAAGCCTGAGAAAGAAGAAGAAAGAGAGAGAGAGAGAGGAGAGGAGAGAGAGAGAGAGAGAGAGAGAGAGAGAGAGAGAGAGAGAGAAGAGAGAGAGAGAAGAGAGAGAGAGAGAGAGAGAAAGAGGGAGGAGAGAGAGAGCTGAGAAAGAGAAAGAGAAGAGAGATAGAAAGAAAGAAAGAGGGGAAGGAGAGCGGCTGAAGAGAAAGAGAGAGAGAGAGAGAGAGATAATAGACAGAGAGAAGTATATTCCTAGAATCTACATTCCGTGGTTTCACCTCCGTCACCTCCTGTGCCCGGTTGACGATAGAAACCACAACCTAAAAGCCAGCAATTAAAGAAGAAAGAACAATTAGCGAAAGTAAACGCTGTCTGCGCATGCGTGTCGGCCACTCAACGCATCTTGTAAATAAACCTTTTTTTTTTTATCTTATTCCATGCGTATTAATCTTTTAAACTTGTTTAAACTTTAAGCTTTCATTCAGTTAATCCTTCTGTCGAAACTTTCAGTCAAGCATTTCTTTTATCAGTTTTCATTCATTCATTTTCTAGTCTTTTCCGTTCATTTCCTATCTTATTTATTTTTTTTTTTTTAATCTGTTTCATCATTCTCTCATGATTTTCCCGATTAAAGCTTAATTTCTTTTATTTCATAATACATATCATATCAATTTATCTTAATTATCCTTGTATCGATATTTTCTTTATCATATTTCTTATTCTTTCATCTTAATCTAAAAAAAAAATCATAAATATTTCTTTCCTAAAACGTCAATTTGTTGAATTTCTTTTCTAAAATTTCAAAGCAAACAAATGTATATATTTTTTAAATTTCTAGGGTGTTAAATCACGCAATATTTTCTCAAAAACGCCTACATGCTAATTTACACTGGACAGAACTTCATATAACACTTGTAGAAAAGATATAGATTAGAAGGATATAATTAATTAGAAATTATTAATTATCAAAATATATTAATTAAAATATAATTAGAAAGATATGGATTAGAAGGAAATAATTTCACGAATCAAAAACTTCCTAAGGATTACATGTGATTCTTGATGAAGTTGAAAATGCGCCAATCACCTTTGTTGCTTTTTGTGAAGTTAATTAATCTCACTTCTTCCTTTGCGTTCTAACCATTCGACCCTGACGTAAGGAAAACGTAAAAAAAAAATATATCACATATTATTTCCCGATCTATATATTTACATTTGCGTTTTAAAATAGTTCAGTATTTTCTATGATGGTCATTCTTCATTACCGATCAAAAAATAATAATAATAATAAATAAAAAAATAAGATAAATAAAATGATAATAACAATAATAATAATGACAATAATAAATAAAAAATAGGAGGAAACAGACATGGACCCCATTATATATGAAGAGAGTGAGATTCTACACTACTTGAGAGAACATTTCTTAAGGTCAATCAAACTTAGAAAGATTTATTGAGAAATGATCAGTCATTAACCGACTTTCAAAAACATTTCGCTTCTACAAACATTCATCCATTCATTCATTTCCTTTAGTAAATAAAGGAATGGTTTATTTACTAATTTTCCTAATAGAAAAATCATTTCCTTTAATAAACATGAATTTCTTCCCCTTGAAAATATTCTCTTAGCAACACACTCCTTCAAACATGTCTTTACTAAAATATTAATCTGTTCATTTCACTTTCAAAAACATTTATTCATTCATTTCCCTTTCAGGAACGTGGACCTGCTCATTTCTTCTCAAATCCATTAAATTCTAAAGCTTTCATTTATCTTTTCATTCCCTAAAGCCTCCCCGAGGAATCACATACACTTTCATTAAAAAAAAATGATAATGATAATAATAACAATAATAATAATAATAATAGCAATATATAAATGATTAAATATAATAACCCTTTCAACACTCTGAATTATTTCACCTCTTCACCCTATATTCTAGCCCCACCCCATGCCCCCCTCCTCCTCCCCCCCTCCCCCAACCCCGCCATGCCAACCCCCACCTTTTACATATTCCTTACCCCACCTACCCTGCCCTCCTACCCACCTCTACACACGCCTTATACCTCCCATATACTCCCTTCCCTGCCGACCCCCCCTCCACCCCATGCCCCCTACTCCTATCGCCCGCCCACCCCTACCCCTACTCCTACTCGCCCCGCCCACCGATTATTACATAAGAGGTTTTACTGTAACCTTCGGGTGGGGGGGGGGGGAGGATGTAGGGAGGGGGGGAGGGGGGCGTGTCAGGCAGAGGCGCATGAGAGAGAGCGTAAGGTCAGGCTTATGAGGGGGGTAGGGGGTAAGGGAAGGAAGAGGGGTCACGCGAGGAAGGTGATGAGTGATGGGAGTGCTGGGGACGAGGGGGGAGGCGGGAGAAGTGGAGGAGGAGGAGGAGGAGGAGGAGGGGGGGGGAGTGAAGGAGGGGGAAGAGAGGAGGAGGAGGGGAGTGAAGGAGGGGAGGAAGTAGGAGGGAGAAGCGGAGGGGGTGGACGGAGAAAGAGGAGGAGGGGAGAGATGGGGGAGGAAGTAGGAGGGAGAAGTGGGGGGGAGGACGGAAGAAAAGGAGGAGGAGGGAGGGGGGAGGGTTAGAAAGGTAAATAGAAGATTTCTCGCGGTCGTCATGCGAGGGGGAAGACGAAAAGGAAATGGAGAAAGAAGACGAGAAGAAGGGGCGATGAATGTGGAGGGAGAAGAAAGGAGGAGGGGAGGAGAAAGGGAAACAGAGAGAGAGAGAGAGAGAGAGAGAGAGAGAGAGAGAGAGAGAGAGAGAGAGAGAGAGAGAGAGAGAGAGAGAGAGACATACAGACAGACAAAAAGACAGAAAGAGAAAAAAACAAGAAAAAGGAACGGAGAAAAAACAATCAAATGAGAGAGGAACCGACACCCGAGAACGAACGGAAAGGGAAAGGGAAATAAGTAAAAAGGAACGAAGAAATCTTAAAAAAGCGGGAACAAAGAAATTACAGAGACACCTTAAAATGGAAATGAAGACTTTCGGAAGAGGTTTTCGAGATAAATTACGGAATGTGGGTTTAAAAAATAGAAAAAAAAAGTTTATATAGTCTATGAAATAAATTGGAATAAAAGTTACTGACGAGATGTAATGAATTATAGAAAATACAGGATTTATGCATTATACACAGTATATGAAACAAAAATATCCTGTAAGTTTTATAAAATGAATAAATGATAAATAAAATGAAACAAAAATACCCTGCGAGTTTCTTAAAATGAATAAATGATAAATAAAATGATATAATGATATATGAGAAGCCGTAGAAAGCAGAGGGAGAGTACGATCTAAAAAGTTACATATAAAAGATGCATAATAAAATATAAAAAAGTAGAAAATAGAGAGAAAAAATGGCTCCTTATCTGGTAGTTGTATTACCAAGAATTAAAAAAAAAAATGGTGCTGAAAAGTTTTATATTTATATTTCGTTCAATGAAAATTCATTACCATATATATAAAATGCACGTCCACCTAATAATCAATAAAAAATACATATACATCTAACCGCATACAGATTAAAAGAAAAAGAAAAAAAAAAAAAACGCTGGGATTATGAAATAGAAAAATTTCCTGTCACAATCCTCTCTCCCTTGACGCTGACGCAATATTTAATTCAATACGAGATCTTCCCGCCGCTATTGCGTGTCAGACGACGCTAATTGCCGGTCGGCGCCATCTATCGGAAGAAATTGTCGATCAGCGCCATCTGTCGGCAGGAATTATCGTTCAGTGCTACCCCTCGAGAGGAATTGCCGCTCAGTGCCATCTATCGGGAGATATTATCGCTCAGTGTCATCTATCGGGTGAAACTGCCATTAAGCATCAGTCGGGGGGAAAAATGACTGTTCCGTACCATATTTGTCGAGAAAAAAAAAGTTACCTACCATCTATCAAAGAAAAATAGTCACGCATTCAAATTTGCTCAAGTAAAAAGATCTATTTGGACTTTTTTTTCCCCGCCCACGGCCACCTATCGAAAGTTCAGTACCATCCCGCGATCAGTGCCATCTCTCGGAGGAAATTATCGCTCACCGCCAT